GGGGGGGGGGTCTGAATTGAGCGATCAATTATTAGACCCGGACGTCCCAACACTTGCTTCGCAAGACAAACTCAAGGTATCCCCTAAAGGGCTACCTTTCGTGACCTGTTTGTGACGCATTTTCTGGATAGCTCCCAATTCAGAGGCTTCTTTCGCAACCCACCACCACCTACCACCACCAACTGTCTTCGCCGGAACCCCCGGAACCTCTAGAGCGTTCACCGTTCTCCCCCGAGGAGCTCTGCTTCCCCGAGAACTTCGGAGAGACGGTCTCGCCGATGGACTCCTTCTCCTCCAGCACCGCCGCTTGAAAGACCTCCGCCCAGGGAACTCATGGAAAGCGGGGGTGTCGTGTCTCCACCGGGAAGAGACCTGTGGTGCGGGGTGTAGAGTGGTGTGTGGGGCACACCACTTGTGGGGATTTTTGTGTTTATCAGGCTCGTGCACCAGTACGTGGTGCCGATGCCCAAGGGGATGATACACCAACTCGCCGCTCAAAAGAGGCCAATTGTTGTCGCTCAAATCCGCCAAAATCCGCCAAACAGAATGATCTATAGTCAGCCAATTCCAGCGGACATATCTTGTGGACCTCCCATCTTGTGTAGAATGACCGCTGTCTCTCCCTCCCTCCATAGCCTCGAAGCGATGTCGGAGCCACGGTGAAAACTTCTCGATGACCAGCAGAATGGCCAAGCGGGGAATCGACACGGTCTCCACCTGTGACTTCACTCGGACCGTGTATTGATGTAGACCTCGGTGGATGGACGAGCTCGGTCGGACGACCGACCTCCGTGGAGGGAAACATGGTCGGACGACGTAGCTCGGTTCAGTTGAATCGCAGGGAGAGGTCTGATTGAAAGATATGTTCTACCAGGAGCAACCGTGAGTGAAAGAGATCACCTGCCAGTACACAACTAGACTGGGTGTAAGTTAGATCCAGGACTCGGGTCTCTTAGTAGTCTCTAGAAAGGGGTTTCCACTTTGGTCTTTTGGGGGGACACCAAGAAACACAAATTGTATACTAAGCCGGGCTAGGAAGCAAACACGTTTGCTCCAGGTCATCAATGGCGGCCACAAGCAACTCTCAGCAAAGTAGGCTGGAGCTTCGATGGTATAGCAACTGCTTGGCCGATGTTTCTTGTGAATCTCGTCCAGTTTTTTCCTCATCCTCTCACGCCACACGAGCTGGATCAGCATGGCAGCGTGTTTCTGCACCGCATCTTGCCTGGGTCGAGTGCGATGGCTTTCTTCCCCTCAAAGAGAGTCGAGTGGGATGGTTTTCTTCGCATTATATAGTCCGGGTTGTTCCAAATACATCTTCGCAACACCTATTTCCGTCCAATTTCAGTCCTTCTTCATCTGATTTCAGGCATCCGTTTTTGATCCAAGAGGTCTTTTTGTGGCACACCTGTCCAACACGACGGTTTGATCCACCACCCCTCCATGTCTGCTCTTTTCGGAGCCGAGCCAAGCAGAGCAAGCTGACCAGGTCGCTTCCGGAGCTCCGAGAGCCCTCGGAGCAGGTTCTCGTCGTGCCAGCGCTCCACGAATTGGCTCTCCAAGTCATTGGAGCGCGAGCGACCCAGCGAGGTGGACCGTTGCTTCCTGCGGCCACGTCCGGGACCGTTTCCCCGTCCGGCACAGGTCTCGGACGGGCTCGGTACGGGATCGGTACGCTACGACCGAAAGAGGGAGGTGGATCATGTCCATTGGTTAGAAGGTCGGTGCACCATGTCGACCTGGTGGCACACCAATCAGGGGTCCGTCGCTTCGTCCAGGAGTGCGTGGGGCGTGGTCGCCCTGGTCGCCAAGTCCGTTGATCCGGGCTGTAAACTGCTATACGGGTGTTTTCTTGACGCATTGAGGGTCCGGTCCTGGTCCTTGTCGGATGTTGGCTGCCAAAAATCAATCACCTCTCCCTTGTAAAATACTATTACTATTGGGGAGATGGGGTTCAAACGTCTACATACCATTTTTACCTCCTGAATCCTCCGAAGGGAGGATCTCGGTTTCCTTAGCACCATCGGTTTCAAAGGATCCGACGACGCTCCGGTATGCTCCGGTCGCTGTCGCTGGTGGCTCTGGGAGATAGAACAAACGCAGAGAGTTCAGCGTTGGTAACGGGCTGATCTTTGAAGGTCTCTGTCTCTGTCTGCACACAAAACCAGCAAAAACGGGTATACCATACCTCCCTGGGTGAGTTTTCGAAACTCCAAGGCTCTCATGGACTTTTCTCATGGTTTTATCATAAAGCAGTTTGAATGTCCCTGAAATCTCACCTGCTGCTAGTACTCTTAGTGACCAGCGCAGCGCACCCTTCCTTCTTAAACGCAGCGCCCCCATCCTTCCGCCCTCTGCCACCGGAGAAACGGCGGCTCCTGGCTTTCATGCGCTTCACCAAGGAAGAGATCATGTGTCGGAGCAAGGCCCGTCGCTGGCTTGCCAGACCCGGCCCTTCCAGCTCCGCCCAGGCGGGGAGAAAAGCATCCTGGGCCGAGCTTCGAAGATCCGGGTTGGCTTGAGTGCTTGAGTTGGTTGGGGGCACCAAAGTCAATCTTTCTATCGGAAAACAAGCATTTCCCATGACCAGGGTCCAGTGGGAGCATTGGGATGCTCTCCCCTGTAGACCTACCACACCTCGCAACGGCTCTTCTTTCTTCAAAGCAAATGTCATACTTGGGTTTCTGTCCCCATGTCATATTAGGTTGAACAGACCAAGAAGCCTTCGAAATCCCACTTGCGACACAAAACACAGGGAAACACCCCAATCCCTCACGCTACGAACGGAACAATGTTCGCTACTAGTGCTCCTGGCATCGCTACGAACGGAACAAGGACGCTACTCCGTCGTCGCGACCCCCGATAACGTGACTCGCCTGCTCGTCCTCTTGAGCATCCGCATCGCGATCGTTCCTGGAGAGAAATCAGCGAAGACAACCGCGAGGGTACTGGTACACAATGCTCACATTTGCCCAGCCAAACAAGCTTAGTTTGGAATATGCTTCTCTTCTCATTGCCCTACTCATCTGCAGTTTTCAAAGGCTACTGCTTCACCTCTACTGCCATCCAAATCCCTCCTCACCCAAAAAACGACTCCTCTCCATCCCTCTCGGCTTCGGTCTAAACTCTCCATCCTCCTGCGGAGGACTGCCCGCCGTCGCTTCGCTCGCGACCGCCCGCTTCGCTCGCGCAGGTGGGTGCGCTGGGGTTCACGAGCTCGCTCGCTCCCGTCCTGTAGAGGATGGTGGTTCCGGCCAGCAGGATGAAAATGTCCTGCCGATGGCGACCACGACCGGCGACACCGTCGGCCGCGGATGGTCTGAGTCCAGCGACCGGCGACCGTGATGACCGTCCTCTCCATGTCGCGGCGATCCAGACGTTCGGATCAAACATGTGCCATAAGATGTTCAGAGTCCGACAGTTGCTTCTGCACTAGGGCAGCTGCCCTAAATGGACCACCTTGAACACTCACAAAAAAGAACAGACCCTTTAAAGAGACGCACCAAACAGCTCTAACACACAACACGCCTTCAGCTTCGCTTCCCCAAAGCCTCCCGGCCCTAGGGCAGCCGCTCCTTGACCTCTTCGCCGGCTCGGAAGAGGAAATCCCCGCAGTCGTGGAAGCCCGAGCGGACGCCTCGGGCTTCCGTCCATCGGTCGGAGCGGGTCGGAGGGCCACGTATGTGGGGGGGGCGAGGGAGGAGGGCACCCCGCTTGAAAGGAAATCCGAGGGGGAGGGGGTTAAGTGGTATGGGTCAAAGCATGGTAGTATCACGTGAAGTATCATAAAGCAACATTTAATATATAGTCGATGCTGAATGAAGACCTATAGAGTCCTAGAGCTTGACTTTGGGGGGTGCTAGACTACTCGTTATGTCTATATTTTATAGACTCTTCGGGCATTACAAGACGCAAACCCAGATGAAACAGTCTTTCATGGGACACTACTCGGATGGTCGTGGTATATTTGAAGGTACTCTTCCAACAGGAAAAGTCGAGAAGACCCTTCTACCAGCACCTTCCAACAGGTCTCCTAACAGGAGGGTTGGAATTGGCCCTGACAGGTTTCAATTGGTGACTTGTTGGAGGTGCTGGTACAGGACTCCGGGCTCTCTTCTTAAAGTTTGGTGAGATGACTGAAGCTAGTTAGGTGACTGGAGCCTCACTTTTCCCTACCTCCTTTTTTCCCCAAACAGGTTTACCTGTGAGGGGGTTCTTACTCCTCTTAAAGGGGTGCATGCTCGGGCCGGATGATTTTGAGTTTGTCTCCGGGCTTGTGTTCCTGGCCGCATGATTTCACCCTTGTCTCCCACTTGTCTCCCAGTAAGCTCTGGATGCTCTGAGTGCTTGGCCGCATGATTTCATACTTGTCTCCCACTTGTCTCCCAGTAAGCTCTGGATGCTCTGAGTGCTTTGGCCGCATGATTTTATACTTGTGTCCCATTTGTCTCCCACTTGTCTCCCAGTAAGCTCTGGATGCTCTCAGTGCTCTGGCCGCATGATTTTATACTTGTCTCCCACTTGTCTCCCAGTAAGCTCTGGATGCTCTCAGTGCTCTGGCCGCATGATTTTATACTTGTCTCCCATTTGTCTCCCACTTGTCTCCCAGTAAGCTCTGGATGCTCTGAGTGCTCTGGCCGCATGATTTCAGACTTGTCTCCCACTTGTCTCCCAGTAGGCTCTCGATGCTCTGAGTGCTCTGGCCGCATGATTTCACACTTGTCTCCCATTTGTCTCCCAGTAAGCTCTGGATGCTCTGAGTTCTCTGCCCGCATGATCTCACACTTGTCTCCCACTTGTCTCCCAGTAAGCTCTGGATGCTCTGAGTCACAACCTGGATCCATAAATTTCATGTTTTAGCCCTTGTACGGCGTCCCATTGTAAAGTCAATGAAAAACAGAATTTTAATGCTTTCCCTTTGAATCTTGTATGTGCGTCTACATGGTGGACTACAGTTTTCTTCCTCTAGGAAATACTGCTGGCCATATTGTTTGGAGATCTCATTTTTGAACATTGCTCTGTTTGGGGTCTACGCTGGTATAATTTTGGTCTATATTTGGAAGTCTGCCACCAAGGACACCCAACAAAAACCCGACTTCCTCCAGTTGAGAACATGGTTTTCGGAAGGGTTTTGACCAGAATACTCCTTCCCACACGAAAAGCGTGGCGCATTCTCCGCCGGGTTCTGGCTTCCACCAGCCAGAACCCCCAACAATCCGTAGGGTTGGGACAGCCACACAGATCAGATTGTGAGCGGACATCGGGGTCACAGATCAGATTGTGAGGCAGCTGGAATTTCCGGGGGTCGCGGAGACAAGGCGGAGGGCGCCGAGCTGCTGGTGGCCAGGCTCTTCACGCAAGCCGTGTGGCCTCTCATCCTTGGAACAGGTGCTGTTCTGCACTTGGCAGCGATGAGATGGGATTGCACAGAGTTCATCTGGTGAGGGCTCTACACCTCCATCCCCCACACCAGATCTGTGGACTGAGCTCGGCGCCATGCCAGGAATGGGGCAGCGTTGAGAACCTCCTGCGTGGCACAAACACACAAACGTGCGGAAAAAGAAACGGGATGGGAGGCGGGGTCAACGTATTTGTTTGGCCTCCACGGTCCAGGACCAGATTGACGCATTCTTTTCCAACACCTGTTCGGACATCCGGAGCGGCCTCCATGTCCGTCTCTCTTTGTACCCAAGCCTCCCCGTCTCGTCGAGGGCCTCGGGTCTACCTGCCTAGCCGTCTCAGCCACTTGGCTGGCGTCCTTGTAGATATGGTAGCAAAGCTCCGATCTGAGGGTGGGCGTCAAGGCCTTTTTCAACTCCTCCTCGTACAAGTCATAGTCCTGGAATCACAAGTCAGAGAGTCATAGTCAAGCCTTCCCTTCCAACCCTTCCAAAAACAATGAACACAACAAGTTGACCAAGGAGCTCTCAATTTGCCAGCATATTTAGATAAAATACTAAAAGGGCTCCTTCTGCGCTCCCCACTTGAACCTCAGCTCAATTCCAAGTCAAGAATTACCTGACGACGTAAGAAGAGCTTGCTATCGAACCCCTACGTCCTATCCGGTCGTGCCCCATCCACCCCATTCCGAAGAAACCCATGGCGACATGCACACCATGCAGCGATGTTGATGCTTGTGCCGCTCAAGTCATGGGAGCGGCAAATCACCTTCAACCAACCACGGAGGACTCCGTCAAGTCATGGAGGACTGTGGCAGATGCCACGATGTCATGCTTCCCATCACCCCCCTCGTGTGATGCTACACCCCCCCCCCTCGCATCCGCCCGATAGGTTTCGCACACCGTGGATCCGGGAAACCCGATGGGTGGACGAAGCACTAAACCGGCAGCTCTCATGAAGCACTCGGGTCTTGAACCCCTCGGACCTCAAAAAGAGTTAAAGGTGATCCACTGACTCAAGCAAGGAGGAATGCCTCCGCAAGCAATAGGATGCCGGCGGAGGAATCCGAGTAAAGGGTATAGGAATTCTGTTTTTCTCTCAGCTCTCGCAATCAATGCTTTCCAGGCTGCAGGAAGTACCTCCGCACCTGCATGAGCATAGGCATGCCATAGGCATGACTATGAGTCACTCCACCACAACATCTTCAAGATTTTGCACTAGACCACAGGGGGTTGTCTCTAAAACGATCACCCAACTCCATGGATTTCGCTTCTGTCATCCTTTTTCCTTCCACCCCTTCGCCTTTGGCACCAGTTTTCTTATTTTTCGGTCAATTGGTCTCTTCAACGCCATGGCGTCTCGTTTTCGCGCAGAAAAAACACCGTTTCGCACCTTGCAAAGAAGTGTCTTTGGCACTGCTCGCCACGACATGTACCTGCCGCGCCGCACCGGCGTCGTCGCCGCCACACTGCTGCCATGTGTCACGAAAAGCGGACGTGGGTCGATGCTGAGAATCCTTGGGGGATTTGAGTGTTCTGTGAGGGGAGTTATATACATAGGAATGAGGCCGACAGAACCTCTTCGATGGGTCAAATCTGCTTCTCGATCCTAAACGAATATGAATACTTAATTACTACAACTTACAGAGCTCTCCCTATTGGGAAGGTGAAACTCTTGCACAGCACACGGAAGGTGAAACTGTTGATCCGCCCTTCCATGGACATCAGTTGATGCCATATGTGGTTGATCTCGTCTCAAAATGTCTCCGAAAGAGATCATGTTCTACTTAATAATTGAACCTACCTGCTAGAATCACCGGGATAAACCTCAAATAAATGATGATAAACTCTTCTGCTTTTCTGAAGCTCTCTCGTATTTTTGTTAAAGCCTAAATGTCCTTGTTTCAATCCATTTTCCCCGTGGGTCTCGGTTTCTTCGCCTGGCCAGCTGTCGTTTCTTCGCTGCCACGATGCGGTGTTCCTGCGCACGCGAAGCTCCGCGGAACAATCGCCGGTGAGGGAAAGGAAGAGCAACACCGAGTTCTACATCTCTTCTCACCAGCTTTAATGTCGACTGTTGATGAACCAAACCCCTCATCTCCCGAAATGGTTCTACCAGGTTCTAGATCTCTGTGTGTGGAGGCTTTCCATTCAATAGTGTGCTATAGTCAGTCACTATTAATGGTCTACATTCGACAGCAACAGGCCGATTGTCAAAAATGGAGTCTGCCAAACTTCCTGTCCCAACACTTTGGAAAAAGCCGGTACACTCACCTACTTGGTATTCGGACTTCATGGTCATCCAAAGCTGGCCATGCCATCTTCCACGGACCGAAGAGGGAGCTGTCGTTGTTCTCCCATGCCTTCGTTCGATCCGATCCACCAAGGAGTCGAGAGAGCTGTCGTTCCCCTCGATCCGAACCTTGTTCACCGAGGCCACCAAATCGCTCAGCATCCCCAGAAGCCCCGAGAAGATCACGGCGGAGGTCAGGAGCAGCAGCAAGACCCAGCGACACTCCTCCGTCGTCCTGAGAGGACTGAGTTGGAACGTGTTAAAACGCTTTTCAACATCGTATTTTTAGCCTTTCCCATCTTCCGGAGGACATCTTTTGTAAAAACATGTATTCTGATAGAGCCACTGAGAGGTCCTTTTGACACATGCATGGCATGCACATCCATCGTCCATCTCTGGGTTGATACTGTTAACACATCTCAGAACTCATGTATGTAGGAAAAATGTTTTTATCCCTACCGGTGATTCTTTAGTACTTATTCCATTTAGACACCAATAACAAGCGCAATTGCCTCTGACTGCAGTGAAGTACCGCAATCGACCTCATCGCTTGACCAACGCTCGACCTTACTAAACCAAGCTGCACTGGTGTGATGTCACCTGGGCAATGGCACCAGGGGCTGTGACCTATGTCCTTCAACCAGGCGTCTCTAAACGGATCGGGTTCGCAAATTGCTTCTGCTTTACGATTTCTGCGGAGGCAGGCCATGAGGTCGGCACAGGACGTTGCCAAGCTGGCACTGCGAACTGAAAAGACCCGGGAAAAAACACCATGCTAGGTGCGGGCTCCAGGTTCAGCAATACATTTCAACACATTTCATAGCAGTTTGGTGTGTGTCGTGTTCGTTTTCTGCATACCAAATGGGTGGAATAAAAGCCGACCCGGCGCCGGACCACGCGCTCGCGAGAAAATCCACTCCGGGCGGCCGTAGCCCACGGTGGTCAAGGTGGTCAAGGTGAAGTACAACGACCAGGTATACCTTGGGTGCAAACTTGGGAGTGGGGCACGCAAACCGGTGACCCCCTCAAGCAGGAAGAAGAACTTCAGGTTTAGTCGTGTTCAAGTGGGTTTTGTAGATGAGACACCTACGTCTGGACAAAGACTGCAACAGTGAGACAAGTGACCGACCTCATGCTCGACCGACTCTGTGAGTTGGCCATCCATTTCTCCAGTCGCCCAATCAACCCATCTGGAGGTTTTGTTTGCTGATCATTATTGTCTGATCATCTAGTTTTCTCATCGAGGTTTTGCATATTTGATCCACCTTGATCCACGTACTTCCTTTCAGTCGGCTTTTGCCACTGAAACCGAGGCTGAACAGGACTCTGAGACGGGTCGGTTCTTCACCGGTACAGCGTAGCGAAGCGCATGTTCGGAACTGCTCCGGTTTTCTTCCATCAGGTTTCATAGGCCCGGGATGGTGAATCACAACTATTCCATCAACTATCAACTAGGAGCCCCTGACCATCATCAACTAGGCCAACCCCCTGGCCCTATATGGCGAGTTTAATAGCTGAAGGACGACATACATGGACCCTGAGAATTCACCGGAAGATCCATGATTCCTCTACCACCCGGTGGGGCGGAAATTCCGATGTTCGTCTGCCACGCCACGACAGTTCGACTATTCGGACCCTTCGGAACCCCGAAGTGCGCCATGGAAAAGCCATGGTTCCGAGCGAAGACCTTGTTCTCGTTCCCTCTGTAATCCTGTTACCAGTTCTCTGCGCTTGGTGATAGATGCTTTTCAAAGCAGCTTGGCAGTAAGGGAGGGACGAATCAGTAGCACAACAACATCCTGTTTGAATCAGTGTTTTGATGTGTGGACATTGCCATGCTTCCTATGTGAGACCAGTCTCTGAGCTTTCCAACTTGGTACTTGGCACATGGAGTGACCCTGCTGTGACCCTGCCAGTCCTCTTCCAATTCTGCCACCCAGCCACCCTTGGCTGTTTGCGTCGAAAGCAATTCGGCTCAACACGAAATCGAGGGGCACCATCTGATTCATTCATTCTTCAGCAGGCAATCATCCAACACAACTTGCGGCCAGGCGCTTGCTGCGAGCCCACCGCGTGCCAAAAGCAGGCGCCCCAATGAGCTACAGCGCTGAGCAGCAGAAGCACCTGATGAGGACAGGAAAGACAAAGGAAGACCCGGGCATTTCAGACTTGGAACACATTTTTGGCATGTAAGGTGCTGATGTTGTGAGGTCTAGAGGTACATGCACTACCAGGTCCACGTATGTTGGGATGTCCAACGAGGATCAAATCCAATGTATTGAAATGGGGATGGATAAATACCCAGACACTCCATGTATGCCGATCAGTTGGCGGGGTTGACTGGGGGTCAATGGGGCGGCATACATGGCAGTCCCATGGAGTGTCTGGGATATGGGGATGGATGGATGGATGGATAAAACCTGATCAAAACTCCTTCTAGCGAACAGCCCGGTCGCTTCACCGACCAGCTGCCATGACCGACCTACGTCTTCCGAAGGTCTTCCGGAAGAGAGGTGCCTGGAAGAAGGATGTCACAAGAAAACTAGGGGTTTACGGTTTCCCTTGTCCTCCCTACACACCTGAGCTGAAAACACCGTAGTGAGTGGGGCAGTGAAGCTGGGGGTTCTCTACCTTGAAGCGGTTCTCCATGTTCACCCCTTGAGCGTCCCCCCGAAAGCGTGGTCCCCGGCATCTAAGCAAGCCAAGACCACCGGACTTGCGGAGCCTCTGTGGAGTCACCTTAACAAAGCCGTTTCGACCAAAAAGAACCTGTGCGGCGCCGTTCGTGGCCTTGCCAAAGCCCATGAAGAGCTCGGCTGCGTAGTTCCCTTCCAAGTAGGTCTCAGCCGCCCTGGGCACGAAGCACACCCTTCGAAGCAGCACAAATGACCTGAAAATCTGGAGATGCAGTGTGGCCCCCCAAGGTTTCCAACATGAATCTCAGTTCTGACACTTTGGGATAGTGCATCTCCAGAAACGGCCTTCTTCCATGGATCCGACCGCATGTGCAATCACTCAAACCTTCTCCACAGTTCTGACCTCACACATGCGTGACACCCCCCAGCAGCTCCAAGACCTGCACAGTCACTCTAGTCGCTTCGCCCATCGACACTCCAAGCTGCTCGGTGATCTGTCGCAGCCTGCGGATCGCGCGACGACAGCGCGCGACAGGGCGCAGGGCAACGAAGGAACACCCGGAATGGTCTGGGCCCTAGGCAGGCAAGCTAGGCCTCTTAAATGCTCCGGATGTGAGGGGCAAAACACTTTTCTCCAATGATGCTTTCGTGTTCAGATGCTTTCAATCCTCCCTTCAATCCGCAGAACTTCACCCTTCCCCACTTTCTCCCCTTTCCCGTTCTCCGCGCGCTCCGAACTCCGAACGGCCAAGGCGCTTGGCGAGTCGCAGGAGCCGCGCCAGGCGGATCAGTCGCACGACTTTCAATCCACGCGTCACCTGTGCCGCGTGGCGAGTTCATGCCCAGTTGGACTGTCCACTTTGCACTGTTCAGTGAACACGCGACGGCCGACGTCGGCCATGTTCCACGCCGTGGCGCTTTTCCGGCGGTTTTTGGTCGAAGGGGGGTGCCGAGGGGTGCCACATGGTGGGTCGGTACCAGCCGACGTCTCTTGGAACGGTGCTTTTCCGATCCTTTGGACATGGACGGCGTTCCACCCCTAACAGTCGAGCACTGTCAGGTGCTGAGGAGCGGGTTCCACCGTGACCATCTCACCCTCCTTTCTCGCCTGCGCCACAGAGCTGTCGCCAATCCATGTCCATGGAATTGCTGCCACGGCGTCCAAGAGAAACCATCCTGGCAAGAAAGCACGTGCACACCTGCGACCCACTGCCTGCGACTCACTGTGTGTGACCTGTGTTTTATGAAGTGTGAATACATCCGTTTGTGTGGACGCTTTATGTTGTTTTTTCCCATGCAGAACTGGACCAGGCAATGCAGAAATCTGCTGTCTCGACGACGTGAAGAACGGGGGTCCCTTGGTTTGGACGTCGCGCGGGTTCCGCGCCCGCGCCACGCCTACCAGGTAATGCTTCACCTCAGTGAGCGATTCTCGCCATGTGAAGCCTCTTTTCAAGCATTTCAAAGCTGACAAGAGCGAGGGCAGGAGCTACTAGTAGCAAGAAGCTACTATAGTAGCTCCTGGCCGTACTACTAGTAGCAAGAAGCTACTATCGCTACTATAGTCACAAGGGCATCTCTACTAGTACTTGATGGAGAACATCTTGTTGTATCACTGGGCAGTCTGAATTTGAGTGGGATGTGAGGCGGTGCTAATTCTCGGATCACATGGGTGTAGACCGAAGCCATTTAGAGTACCTTCCTTTTTCCTGTCATGCACTGCTCATCATGAACGATTCCTAGCGATATGCAGCGGTTTAGTGTATTAATGCAGTCTTCTGTCTTCTTACCAAGTTTTGCCCACCCCTCACCTCATCCAAATAACCTTGCAAACATCACCCACTGGGTTTCCAGGCGATCTTGCCAGGAACGGAGACCAGGTTCCCACGTGAGTCTCGGTAGCCTGGCGAAGGCGGAGGCGCAAAAGGCGACCACCGCGGCCGCTCCGAGCAGCGAGACGGCGGTGCGATGCGAGGACAAGCTGGAGCACCGGTGAAAGGCGCCTGTGAGACAGGTCACGATGATGTCCAAAAGGAAATACCTTTCAGAGATCAAGTGGCACGCACTTTTCTGCTCTACCCGCTTTGCAGAGACAGATCTGCAAGTGTGGCGTGTCTTTGATGGAATATGGACCCGTGTTCTTAAGTGAAGGGCATCAGTTGGAAAGGCCAAAGAGAGTTTCTGACCTGGGAAAAAACACATGAATTGGAGAGGAGAATTATATGTATTTGACCGCACTTGACAGCAAACATCAGTAGCTGCTGAACACTGACATCTCCCAGGCCAAAACACCATGTGATATGGCTTGATCATGCTTGACCTCTCTGGCCGAAAAACGAAAAACGACCGAAGAACGAAAGGAACGCAGCCTTTCTGACTTCTTGGTATTCGGCAAATGAAGCTATGACAAGCTATGAGTTCGGTGTTTCCTCCGGATCCCGAAGAACCGCTCATCGGTTCTGACACCACCGCGGATCAGGGGGCAAGTCCACCACACGGAAGGCGATGCCGAGGAAGGGTTCGTCATCGGGCTCCACACCGAAGGCTAACATGAAGGGCACCAAGAAGGCCTTTGAGGACGGCCACTGAGGACTTCTTCTTCTTCAGGAGGGTGAAGTGCATGTGGCAGTTGGTGGGAGAGCTTTCTATCATGGCTGTCTAGGAGAGCTTTCTAGCATCCTATATTATCCTATCATAGCAACATCCTTCAGGTTGGACATTTTGACCCAACGTCGTGAGCGAAGCATCTCCAGTTCTGAATGGCTCCCCTCGTTCAACTGAGGCCTTGAAGCTGAAACTGCTGGTTTCGTGTCGCCAACACCGGTGACCGTGTCGCCTCGGCCAGCACGAAGACAAAGGCCGGTGTGAGCCACACCAGGCGTGGAGGTCCTTCCGGATGAAGGACCGGCCAGAAACCCAGGCAGCTACACGGCCTGACGGAACGTGCCAGAATCGGAGCACCCACCCAGCTCGGTGATCGAGCCGCGGAACATGGGGAGGGCTGCGGGCTGCGGGCTCCCTGGAAGATTCACGGTCTTTTGGACTCTCTTGGGGGATAAGTGTTTTCTTTTAAAGAAGAGAAGCGCGTCCATACTCAGAAAAAGATGAGTTTTTCAATCTCAATCCGTTGTTCTGATGATGGATGATGTGCAAAGCAACACCAAGTGGAAAACCATAGACGGAGACAGGGCCCCGTTGTTCTGCACCCCCAGAGATCGGGATGACAGATTCGCGAGATGGATGACACGGGTCTTCGTCTTTAGGCTGCGAAAGGGTAGTAATGATGCGAGTTCACATGTCAATAGACGGCCTTTGGACTAGCCATGTGTACAAGTACTGATCTCGGGTAGTATTGATGCTAGTGATGCAATCTCATCACCTTGCATCGTTTGCAATCCTTATTACTTTGCATCGTTTGCATCACCAAGCCACCACGAATCATCTCCGTGGAAAAGCAAAAACGCCAGCAGGCCAACGTGGTTTACGTCACTTTTTCCCTGTCTTCCCCCCACACCCATGAAAAACGAACTTCATTCGCAGCATCGTATATTCTATATATCTAGGACGATTCCAAAACCCCTTGAACACCCTGAAGCAAATGGTTCACACAACCTTCACGGTGCTCTGATCCCATTCGACTTTCTTTTCAGACGCGGATGCTGCTATTGACACATGCGAGCTATGTTCATTGACTTCCAAAAGAACCGCCGAAGCCGCGGTAGCAGGATACACTGATGCATCGCCAAACCGAGGACTGGCCTCTCCCAAATGATGGCACGAGAATGCTCTTCCTCGGCTGTCAGACCCTGCACGTCTGGCCATCGAATTCCCCTTTCACTTTTGGTCAGAAAAAGGGTGGAAGATCAACCACTATTTTGGACATGCATCGCTAAACAGTTCATGAAGCGACCAATCATGAAGCATCATATGTGCGGCGGCATTTATTTGGTACGAAACTCAATTACACTATCTATTATGTGTGGGCCCTATCTCGTTTAGACTACTTAAGTAGGTCATGTCACAGTATCTCGTTCAGACTACTTTAGTAGCAGCAAATCACACTATCTCGTTCAGACTACTTTGGTGTCATCAAGCAAAATTATCTCGTTTATGCGGGGGCCCTATCTCGTTCACAAGCGAATACTGATGATAGACAAGCAAATAGAGTATGCCGTAGATTCCTTTGGTAACTTTAGTAAAGCCTAAATAAAAGTGGTTGCTCACATGTCACCTGACAATTTCTCAGCCGCGGCAAGCAGCCTTTGGATCAGCCAATACCATGAACCGCTTTCGCTTGGACTCAGTTTCGGACGTCCGGTGAACGCGCCCTTGAACCGAAAGGGGGGACCCTGTTGTTGTCACCAACGAACTGTTTAAAACCCTCAAGCTACGGTCTCAACAGTCTTAACACGTCTTTAACACATGAAATATCCAACACCGAAATACGAAATGAACCACACAGCTGTGGTGAAGTCCCCAACACGTGAATTCCCTCGGTTTTTGACGCGTGGCGAACGCTAAAACATGACATTTCATGCCTTGACACGTCCTTCCCAAGCTGCCCCTGCTTCATCCTCACGGCTTTGCCCCAAGATGCTGACTCCAAGAAGAGGCCGGAGGTACCCATTCGCAAGGAGCCGGCTCTGGGAACCTCCGGCGTGGAACCGGCGGAACGCCTGCTTTTCAGACATCTTCCAAGGCACCAAAGCCATCCAGCAGGCGACCCGAACTCGGCCCCGAAGCAACTGCTACATGGACAGGTTCGGTCCAAAACGTCTGTGCCAGTGAGGGTGAAAGCTCCAAACGAACTGAGGGTCCAAGACTTGTTTTGGTTGGGAGGATAGGTTGGTACACCTCCGCCCTCCCTTCCAAAATCGACTCGTGCACTCGTGCGCAGTGCACATCCTTGTAAGACGAAGCTTGGATCCCTTGCCATGGATCTCGATCCCAGATGATCCCGGTGGACAGTACCTTTGGCCCAACGTCGCATCAACACCTCCATCGCCAGCCGCCGGGTCCTTTTTGGGGCGGGACAGTCCCTCTGGAACATCTGGCCAGTCTCTGCCGACAAACCGGTTTGACCGAAGGTTTCTGGTCCTCAAGAGAGCCAGTGAAGGGCTTCAGAACCGCGCGCGCGCGAAAACGCCCTCCTCCGTCCAAGCCGAGTCACTCGGCCCTTGGAATCTGGACTCTTTCCGGCAAAGGCCCGCTGCGCCTCAGCCCAGGGTCCCACATCCACACAAAAACTGTAGCGGCTAGACATGCTTCAGACTCTACCAACGTTGAGAATGGATGACACCAAGCTGCAGTGACAAGCTGCAAAGAAGACCTGTACTACCACGAAGAAGGTTCGACCAAATTCTTTCCAACCTTTCAACCTTTCCGACGGGCGGCGGGACCTCGCGGAGACGGCGGGATTCTCCAGTTGGTGGAGACAAACACTGGCCACATCCCAGCTCTTCCTCTGCATCAAGTCAAGTTTCGGCTACAATTCAGTGTTAGGCAAAAAACTGCCAAACAATTACACCACCGTAGACCTCAAACAGAAAGAATTGAGAACCCCTGAACAGTAAACTGTTTGGGGAATAAACCTATCTAAACCCGAAATCCTGTGCCGCACACTCCTCGCGTCCACTCCGCCCTGCGGCCCCCGGCGGCAGTGTCATGTGGATGGGTCGTCGTGCGGCCAAGCTCCATGCTCAAAGCCAAGGAGCCGGTCCTCGGTCGAACTGGAGTGCATCGCTTTTGGGGTCCGAGGGCGGGTGGGGTGGAGTGCTGGGTGCTGTGAACAGTGGGCTGGATTAGGCGTGTGTACCTCATGTGATGTTCTTGCTGCATTTGGTTTTTTCTCAAACCTACAAGTTGGACCTTCATCCAAGACCTCTTGGAGGCTTCCTGGTCCCTAGAAGTGCAAAGACTATATTTCGCACCACCCAAGTAAAGGAACTTCGTCTTCGGGTCACCTAAAAGCCATTTGCTTTGAGTCTTGGACTCGCCAGGCATCTGGTCATTCACTCGAGGAATTGAGTTCGACCTTTGTCACGAACCGCCGCTGAGTTCGAACCTTCACCGGCTCGGAGCCGAACAAGTCGTTGGCTCCGAGCGACGTCGTCCTCGGCAGTGTCTCGGTCTTCTCACCACCTGCCTGTGGCGTCGCTCAGAAGAGGGAGCGCGGAGCAGCTCGCTCCATGCTCCGCATCGGTCGAGTCGACTCGGGGCGATGGTGGAAGGATTTCTTCGGTTGGATCGTCAGATGTTTTGTTCGTCTTCACTTGAAGGTGAAAGAAAAAGATATTCAGATCTGCATCAACGTTTGGAATGTTCTAGGCCTGGAACACAGGTGCAGTCTTCAAATGGTGGCATGTTTGACAAAAGGATCGACTGGGAAGACCTATTCTCTCCATTTCTCAGGATTTTATTGCTCCTCATGTGCAGGGTGGTTGAGACATTTGACATCATTCGACCAATTGGTCTGATGCAAAATGAGAAGATCCGGCAAATCCTCCAGCTCTCCTGCAAAAAAAACAGGACATGGCTCAAACAAAGGCATCTGCGAGTGGGAATGAATGGAAAGTGGACTAATTGCGTCCCATTATGAACTAACTTCTCCTTCAAGACTTTTTCATCTCGTTGGCTCTTGTGCACCGTGCCGTGGTCCTTTTCCCTTTCTATCCGCCGGTGAATGCGGCCACCAACGCGTGGCTCCAAAAAGGACACGTGTCTCTACCTCTCCCCAAAGATAAGGACAAGAAGGGCTCACCGTGGGTAACACCACGGGCTCGTCGTTCCTGTCTGCAGCGCCTGAGCAATGAGCTCCAGCAGATCGTTCCTGGCGCCCCGAGCGGAACCGAGGACGCCGGTCACGACGGGAACGGACGACCAGTCGACGGGATCGGAGTCGCAGGTTGTGTCTAACACACCGATGAAGCGAATGGATGCGAATGGGCCCAGCGGGTTTGACGCAGGGCGAAGCGGGGGAAGCCTTTGGGCGGGGAAGAAACGGGCGAACGGGGCGAACGGGGGGGTTCGGAGGTGGTTGAGGAGTTGATATCAGTTGGCGTCTGGACTGCCCCGCTACTAGACTGGGCTCCCATACCCCCACCACAAACATCCACAAACAAAAACGCAGAGCTCCAAGGACATCGTCGAGCAACAGCCGAGCCATCAAGGAGGCCACCAATCTGTAGATTTGTGCAGCTGGGATGGCTGGGAGATGGCTGGGACTTCAAGGGATGGCTTGTTTGGCCCATGGCATCTGTCTTTGTATACTGCGTGCTGCATGTTGCCTAACCAGCTCTGCTCCAGCTCTGCAAGTGAATCGATCAGCGCGAAGAGGTCAAAACCCGGTCTATCGAATGTGAACATTAGCGAACAATGGCATTGCTTCTGTCTGTTGGTAGGGATGGGCTACAATGTTGTCTCTTGAAGATACCGTTCTGTCGGCTTGGAGGGTCCAGTCGTACCTAAGCTGAGAAGGTACGACTGGATCCCTAGAGATTGATTTAGCAGGAACACAACTTGGATGGCAAGTAGTCCTCATCGCTTTACAAGGGAACGACCTGGAAGAGCTTTGCGATGCATGCTCATCTCGCTCTTTTCCCGTCCTCACGGCGCTCACATCCTTCTCGACTTTTTCCAAAGCTTGGACATGTTCCTGCACGAGGTTCTGAGTGGAGAGAGGAGGGTGGAGGACAACGACAGAAGCCCTGCGAAAGAAAAAGAGCTACTGAGAACGACCAACGTCTCGTTACGTATCTTGGATCCTTCGCTCAAAGGGGTCTGGCTGGAAAGGCGAACACTGTTCCGCTGCAGAAATGCATGATCAAGCAAAGGACGCAACACTGTGCGTCCCACATCTCCACTGAACATGCAAATCCCTTCCTGTCTTCCATTGAGTAAGATATTTAAGATAGAGCAACAAAAAACACAGGATGCTGTGGGTGCAAACCGGGCGTGGGTAGAGATCGGTCTAATGTCTCGCAGGGGGTGTCTGAGACTGGGGAACGTCATGCACGCAGCATGAAAAGGGTTCCGTTGACCAGGTTTTGTAGTGTAAACTTGTAGCAAAAACGATGGCTAAACAGCTCTTAAGGAGGAACAAGGTCAACTACAGCAACTTGAGAATCCCCAGTTGCTGTGGTTGCTTCTCTGGATTGCCGAAATGAGAACCCCCGGTGATCACCGGACCCGGACGAGGTCGGGGTCCGGACGTTCTGCCAAGAGCATTCTGCGAGCCCCCGTACGGGAGGAGTCGATCGGGTGGACCCCGCGAAGCTCGATCGTGGCACCTCCAAGGCGGTGACCTCGGGCATCCGCAGCCTTGGCACGTCCGGGTCCGGTGTCTTTCAGATGTCGTCAGGGACGGCGGTTCGTCGGCGACGGTTCGGCGGGGTGAATGTCGCACTCTAGCTGGGTCGAAGAAACCGATTCAAACTGGGCCTGTGTAGAAAAATTGCTGAAGTCTTGGAACGCTTTCTGAAGGCAAAGTAGCTTGGAACGGTGCTCTAAGTGTAATTCCTCACACCCAAGTTGCAGCAGAACCATGCAGAACCCCAAACCACCCCCGGCAGTTGACACGAAGTGACCATCCTCGTCCTCTTCGCCCACCCCTTCGCCCACGTTCCCGTCCCCTCTGTCATGTTCCACCGCCGCCCAGCCGCAAGCGATTTCGAAAGTGGAACGCGGAGGCGGAGGCTTCATGCGTGGTCTCTTTGGACTCACCTGGGAAGAAGGATTCGGATTCGAGATGAAGGATGGATGAAGGATCGGGAAGGGGGGCGCACATGGAGGCAGGAGGGTGGATTCGTTGGGAACACCCGACTCGCATGTCTTGGAGATGTTTTGGACCCAAAAATCACCCAACCTTCACCATTGCTCCGTTCGTAGCGAACCTTGTTCCTAGTAAGGCCAGGAGCGCTACGTTTGTAGCGTCCGATCGCTCCGTTCGTAGCGATGCCCAGACTGCTCCGTTCGTAGCGAACCTGGTTCCTAGAAGGTATGCCGTGAAAGACTTGTGTGAAGGAAAATCACACCAAGAAGGTGAAAATCACACCAAACCTTCTAGGTATTTTCTGTGTGAAGGCTTCATGAGCTTCGAAAACCACCAAATCACCTGGCCTACGCCGTCCGACTTGGTCTCGATGTCCGAACGGCGTCGCACGACACGACACGGGGGTCTGGTTCGCTTCCTTCGTTGAGGCGTCTCACTGAATCTGTGCAGCACCATGGCGCCAGGGCCGTTCCCGGTCGTTCGCACGGTACGTGTTCCGACGTCGTCGTCACTTGCCACGTGTCCCCATCTCTTTGATGGTCCTCATCTGGAACGATTTTTTTCACTCTGTCTCCATTCTCCTTTTTTTCTGGCAGGTCTCATCTGCTGTGCAGAAGAAGAGCTTCGGCACACGAAGAAGGGGTGTCCTGAGCTTGATTAGTCAGTGTCCTGCTCTACCTTCGCACATTTCTTCTGGTCATTTGAACATATTCCAGAAGCATGATCTTTGATGCTCTTGGTCTTTCTCGCTTGAGCCTATACAAGGCCAATCATCTCGACTGATACATCTGTGGCCCAGTGGTTCATCTCACATGACTGTCTGGGCCTACAAAAACTGTCGCATCAATTATCGCGACCCACGTTTTCGCGAGCGTCGTGACCCACGTTTTCGCAGGACATCCAGCTTGTCCGTCTTTCTCCCAGCTGAGGCGAACCACCAAGGCGACGTGACCGAAACACCAAGGCGGTTGGCTGAGCACCCCAGGTTTTACAAAGACTCCGCCCTGCACCTATCAGGTCACATCCCGTCAGCTGCTCCAGCGAAAGGCCTCTTTCTCATCGCATCGTCGGGCGTCGCGCGGCCAGGCAGATCTCTAAGCGGTCACAAGACCCAAGCTGCGTTCCAGCTGACCTCATCGACTAGACATGACTGGACACATAGCTGGGAGGGCAAAGACCATGTGTACGCCGTGCCATCGAACTTGGAAGGAAAGTCAACTGTTCGCTCGCTTTGAGACAATTGTCTCGCAAACACAACTCCCAGCACTACCCGGTTCGGGTGGTTTATAGAAACCCCCCTGAAGACGTCTTTTCCGAAGAACCACCCGAAATGGGTGGTGCTGGTCCTTTCTTCTCAGAGTTTTCTTGTTTCGTTCTCCGCTCTGTTCAGTTGCCAGGTACCCCACCCCCCAGCCCCTCACCCCCCCCACCCTCGCGTGGTGTCCGAGTCGACGCCGCCCAGGAGCTCAGCAAGACGGTCTTGCGCTGAAGCTCCGCCTTTAGGGTGCCCAACCTCAAACGACCCGAACTGAATGGCCCAAAGGACGGCGTGGAGCCTTAAGGACAGACAAAAGCAAGGCAAAAACCACAGATTGATGTACCTGTTAGTTTTTCGGTTTTCTTCTTTTTCCCCAGCGAGTAACTCGGGAAGGTTGGTGTGCGAAAGGCTAGCAGCTTCAGGAAATGAGCCACCCGCCCACTCAAACTGCTGGAGATTGTGAGTTCTGCAATGTCCGAAGCACTTGGGGGATGACGAAGGACTTGGCTCTACTGAGCTCGGTCGTTGGGTGGAAACCTACGGGCATCTTTCGGTCGGGGGCACTCAATTTCCATGGGTGTGTTTAGTAAAACAAACCGTTCAAACGTTCGCCCTTGACACGGAAGCTTCAACATCAACAGCGGAACTAGATCGATAAACTTTCTGGGGAAAGGTTTCACTGGATTCAGGGGAAGATGGGTGATGTTTCAGGCATCTTCGCAGTTGGGTCTGTGATTACAAACACATACGGGGACCCAAATGGTGTGTGCTCCACTTCTCTGAGAGCCGAGCTCTTGTCCCCAGCTTCCGCCTTGCCTGAAAAGCTTGGTACACAGAACTCGTCCAATACGAGGATGGAACTGCTCATGGAGAATCTTTTACAAAACAATTTGGATTGAACCGTCTCAATTTACATATATGGGGGTTTTATTACTCAAAGGTCCACATTACCACTACTAAATACTGATATACTGATCCTAACTGAATGTTAAGCACCAGCAGCACCTGTCCAAGAGGTGGATTTGGACAAGAGCTCCTTGGAAATCACTCTTCCGTTATCAAATCAAAACGGGAGCTTTCTCCAGGCACACTCGAAAAGCGGGATCCTACTGGTTTTGAACTATATGCTCTTTTCAAAAATTCCCTGCTGGCGGGGTTTCTCTTTTGCCAACCCTTCCGTTCTCTCTCCACTGTGCAGGACGATTTCTCGCAGACACGTAGCCTCCGGAGCAGCTGTTCTTCCACGCTGGCACTCCTCCGCTCCAGGTCCTCGCAACGAGCGCCGTCAGATGCGACACGACGTCGCAGGTCCCAGGCGTCGAAGCAGGTCAAAATGCAACACATATACGGCATGATGATGGTATGTGATGTTGCTGTTGATGTTGATGATTGTGTTGATGTTGATGATGTTGACAATGCGGATGATGTTGATGATGAAAGGTTGATAATGCTGCTGCTGCTGATGATGATGATGATGATGATGATGATGATGATAATGATGTCGGTGATGATGATAAAACAAATCATGGAACAGGCAATATCTTTTCATGCTCCACCTCAAGAAGCTTGGATATGTGTGGATTTGAATGTCCCTTCCAAAGAACCTCGCTTTTTGAACCTTGCCATACCCTCCCCGCCTCACAGCGCAGCTGGGCAGCGACCATCGCCTGAGAGGCAACCATCGCCACTTCTATTTCAACAGTCTTCTTTTTCCACATGATTTCAAGACTCAAGACTCAGAGCGTTACTGATTGTATATAGTGTTCTCCTTCTGCCATCAGCAGAGGGGGATGACTACCCAAAAAACTCTCACAGATTCATGCACACCAATCAAAGCATATCAAATCCAATGGTCAATTCGCGTTGAACAATGTTGAACAACATCCTCCAGCTGCAGAGACCTCCTGTTCTTTGGAGCGTCCGCCAATTCCAGTCGGAGACGAAGCCGGGCACGTCCATGCGGAGCGCACGCGCCCAGCAAGTCGGTTTTGGGTCATGAATTGTCATGAAAGTCTCCCCCCGAATTGAAGAAATCATATACCTCAATGACCTCATGCAGACACATTAGTCAAGTGTTGAGAAAAACCCATCCACATTCCCATGTGAATCCTCGTGCAGTGTTCCACTTCCATCTGAGAACCTCACCTGAACAGCATCATCCAGCACGTTTCGACCTCGACTCGGATTCGTCACGTTTCGTGGCGAAGCGATGCACATCTTAGAGCTACAAACCTCGAACGCCACGGAAGGCCTTCCGGGTGAAAACAAAGACCGCAAGGCACACATCATCACACATTCACCTATGATGATATGCCAAAGATGTTGGTGTGTTGCTGTTCATCTCATACAACAGAGCTGGGTCTGGCTCGCTGAGCTGGGTCACTGACCTTCGCTCTCCACCGGATCTGGGCTTTCGCGGCGCACGTGGAGCGGCGCAGCTTCTCCCGACGTCCGCGGCGCACGCGGCGCCACGTCCGACACCACGCGGACGCTGCGCCGGGCGGGCGGCCCGTCAGGCGCGGCGGCTCTCCTGGGCGGACGAAACGACGTGAAGTGAAAGAAGCGAAATGAACGGTCCAGCTATGCAAGAAACATCATGGAAGTTCACCAACTGTTTGGTGATGTCTTTCTTGCACATGGCCATGGCATCCATGTAACCATGGCGATTTCTTGTGATTTGGATCGGGCAACATCTCACATCGGACGCGATTTCACCAATGGGCCGGAATATCATGCCGAGGAGCTGCAAGCGACTCACCTCACTTAAGAGCTCCATCACCCTTTGCGTCCTGCAGCAAACAGCGTGGCCAACACGACGCATCTCAGGAGTGGAGCGGTTCACCTCACGTCACACTGGGGATGGCCGTGATTTCCCACACCATGCACAGATTCACATGCATGTCTCGCAGCCTTACAAAAAGAGTGAACGAATGGCCAAAAGCCGTCCTGCGAAATACATCCATGGTCTCCTCTCACCGGGTTTTTTCCCCTTGGCACTTGGCACCCCTTCTTTTGGAGTCCTTTCAGTCCCCAACAAACCCACCCGCCCCGCCGCCCCGCCCGACCGCCCGCTCCGTTGGTAGACCTTCGAAGCGAGCGTCTCGACCAAGCGAGACTCCTGGCGGAGCGACTGCCGAGGCACTGGTGATTGCAGGGCCAGACTGCCTGCACCAGTGTACCAGCAGGGGCCTGGTTGGGTCACTTTTTTGTTGTTCCATCCCCAAACTTGGGGGAAAACCCTGAAAGAAAAGGTTCAGATGTTCATTTCCACCGGAACATGCTACCGAGAATCCTGCCGAGAGTTGGAAGACCGGTTTGTATTGGAATATAGGAAGACCTTCCCTCAATTGCAGTCAACTGGGTAGCAGCATGGTGAATCTTCTGCACCATCCCGGGAACCTTGAGCTTCCTGCTCTCGATATTTTCTATGCTCTCTCGTGTCGAGGTGGCTTTTTGCAGGACCCAACGCCCTGCAGTGCTCAGAACATCACTTTCACCGGAACTCGTGGCAGGTGTATGCATACATCATACTGCCATTCCTTCCCTGAACCCATGTTTTGACAGAGGCTTGTCACTTACGAAGTGACAGTGCGTACTGCATGATGTCCTTTTGCAACAGCCAAATCCCCAAATTCCATGACTGTTGTGCAGGAGATCACCTTTCCATTATCTTTCAAGTTCCCTTTCATTTTTCGCTGGAAATACACCTGCATCACCTTGCATCCATATGCCCACGTCTGAACTTTCTTCAGGTTGAGAGGAGAAACATGGATCGAACAAGGAAACTCTGTCTTTCTGTTCGGAAGGTGCTTTTGTTAGCCACATACCACCGGTGCTGCCTCGGATTCGGAAGCCGGTTCCGCTGGTTCCGCCGGTTGCCACCTGGAGCGCCACGGTTGCGCAGTCGTAAGAACGCCCTCTCCTCTGGGACTTCGGCTTCATCCCTTGGCCTGGGCCTGCGCACAGAGATTTGAGCAGAAAAAGACGTCAGAAACAAGGCGCTACCTAGTAAGAAGGGAATTACATGTAATGAGTCTAGTCTACAGGGCAATAGGTGAAGTGCAATAGGGGTCGATTTGGAGAAAACCCTTCGAAAGCTCCGCCTGACCGCGAAGAAAAAGAGTGTGGGCTCGGTGGGGTGGGCCGTGCTGTTGAGAAAAACCACCGAAGCAGAAGGCACCCCTTTGGGGGGACACAACCGGCGGTCCGCATGTTGTGCGGGTCTCTTCAAAGCAGTGTGATCGACATGGACCTGCCAATCGGCGGACGATGGTCGGCGCGTCATGGGGCAAAGTCACCGGCCAGTTCCGCCAAACTCGCTTCGGCGAGTGGTTCAGCCGCCTGATCATCAGGCTGAGCTGTTCAGACTTCTCTTGCAAAACGTCATGCCTGACAGCGACAACGACTGGTGAAAGGTGCGGTCGGTCTCGCCGTATCGCTTCGCTTCGGGTTCAGTTGTTCACGAAGCGGTTGGGGAGGACCTGTCTCGTCGGATGCCCCCCATGCGGCAGCTTCGGTCCAAATGCGGATTCGGTGTGGTCATTTGCAGGTCCCACAGATTCTGGGCGCATCTCCAGAAGGACTTCGTTTGCGTTTGTCTCTCCTCAACACAAAGGGTTTCTCTGGAGGCCTCCGCCCTTGGGCGCAGGAGAAACCGGGAAAGCTGATCTGATGGCCGACGGTTCCATCCTCTTGAGGGTTTGGTGTAGACCCATCAAAGCTAGACTGCGTGAGATCAGTTGCGTCCCCCCTCCTGGTCCTTTGAATTATGAACAACATGCAGGACAAGCCCTTTAGGATCATTCTGTTTGTAAGGGGAAACTGGTTAGTCTTCCAAGGGGGCCATGCCACTTCTGTGTTGAACGAGACGTAACTTGTCTCTACAAAACTGCCAAGCTGCACGCGCTGTTCTTTGCAATGTATCAACTGCAGTTCCGCTGGCTTCAAGCGACTGGAACATTCATTGGATCGCAGTTTCAGCTCCTCAATCATCTTCGCCTGCGCAGCATGCTGCGCAGGAGCTGCACGCAGCTGTTCCAAACACTGGAGGAACCCTGGAGGACTAAGACACAGGCAGTGTAAGGAATGCCAACCCAAAGGTGCCAACTGTTGCCTCACGCTTCCGCGTGCGTGATCCTCCGATTATCCCAAAGCCATCGCACCGTTTTCGACGCCCTGCCTGGGTCGTGCAAGTGGCCGCCGCTTCTTGTGCCATCTTGGCACGCTTGGACGCCTCTAGCATGACCTTCCTTGGGCATCCGAGTTGGTCAACGCTTGGTCGACTCATGCAATGACTCAAAAGAAGCGCATGGTTTTCTGGTGCTTTTAAAGTTCCGTCTTCGATAGGATGACCCAAGCTCGAAGGGCGCTTTCTTTCGCTCGGCTTTCGGGCCTAAGCTGCTGGCCTTCAACCCCTTTCAACCATCACCTGGTTTGCGGTGTGGAACGCATGCCCCTTGCACGCACGGTCCCGACCGGACGGACCGGTCCGTTCGACTCCACCACGATCGACACCACGACCACCGTGGCGCAGGGTTCCTTCTGCTCCTTTGGATGGTGTAGGGGTTAAGTTGAAGTGACGTGTCCTGTAAACAATAGACAATAACAGGTTACTTTGAAGGTTCTGGAATACAAGTACAATATATTTAGAACATCTCCAGTGCTTTCGAACTCAACCACATTGCTTCGGGGGCACCACCAGCATTGTGTCTTCATCGCATCCATCTCTGCATGCTACCTCATGCTACCATCCATCTAGTCTACAGAAAAAAAGACACAACCACAACAAAATGCCAAGCGTCCTTTGCTCCGTTCGAACCAGCTGAAACTCCTTCAGATGCTGCTCGACCTGTTTCACCTCGCCCAGCTTCTCCCGCAAGGAGGTGTACTCCGCCCAGCGCGCAATCACCTCCTCCCGGGCGTTTCTCCAGCGCTGCTCGGCGCCCAGAAGGAGTTGGGAGATCTGTTGGGCACCTGAAGAGACCAAACGAAAAGGGTTCGACATCCCTGGAGGGGATCGGACATGGACACCTACATAGATGCCTTCTTTCTGGAGCTTTTTTCTTCAAACATTTCAATCTAAAGGGTCTAAAGCATGTGAAAGCAACGCTTGCACTAATGTATCTCCTTGTTGTCCTGAGAATGGACATTTTGGTGCTGCCACACGAGTTCACCATTTACAGGACCTCGAAGAAAGGCCTTCGCCGGAAGAACATGAAAAACATAATTTGGCTGCTGAGCAATCCAAGAGCCTGTAGACATAGATAGCATCAGCTCAAAGTCCAAGTCTGTCAAGTAAGGCTCTTGCAAATGCTTGAGCTTTTGCTCCAACTCATTCATTTCTGCCAGCTGCGATTCTTGCTCTGTCCACAGCTCTGAATGATGTGCACTGCAAGCATTGAGGCACTGCTGCATGGCAGAAAGTCGCGTTGCCACAAACTGGAGCGATTTGCGCTCCTGCTGGTTCATGCTTCGCAATTTTTCCAACTGAGTCAGCGCAGCAAAGCTCTGGTACCCGGAGGACACTTGCAACTTTTCTGGCGTGACGAGCTCCTAAGCTGGGTCTTCCACGTGCAAAAAAATGTATGGCCAGCTTGGATTCCCGGAGAGAGATCACATGAACAATTATATTAGACAATATCATCCTCCAAGACCTTCAGATCGTGACCTCGTTGGAGTCACAACTATGACGTCTTTAGGGGACGAGTTGTGGATCTCACCCGCCACTGATCGACCCGTCGGACGGTCACGGCCTCTTCAGGTCAGGGCCGTATGGCCCGGCCAATCGACCACTTTGAAGAGCTTAGTTGACCTGGTTTTGTAGCGTAACATCCTTAGGCCTTAGTAAAACAATGGTTGTTTGGATGCAGGCTATTAAATCCACGGAGGGCTAGGAAGCCTATAGAGTAGCCGGAGGCGCCGACTTGACGTATTTTTTTCAGGTGAGAGGCCACGTATGAGGAGATTGGCAAGCAAATAGACAGCGTGACGACTCCAATTTCTTCCCATAGATCTTCTTCAGAAGCTTCATCCCGTGGTTGAAACATAGGAGCTGACAACACGTGTGCAGAGGGAAACCGCTCTTCCAAAGTATGTGCCTCGACGTGAAAGTTGCAACGCGACTTCGGCGTGGCATCCAGAACTGATCGAGCATCATGGGATTTGTCTTGGACAAAACCGTCATAAAACCGAAGTTGGACCTCCAAGTCTTTGCCCTTTGGCACTTGAAGTCTCCACCCTTTCGCGCTCCACTTGGGTGTCATGGAGATTTCAGAGAGTCCGCTCACATAGGCCGCAAAGTTCCTGCGGTGCTGTTCGCCGGAAAGGTTGGCCCAAGCCAGCACTGCAAGGCGGTAACAGCCAGGGCGGTGAAAGCGAAGATTCAACAACTCCAAGCCGATTTCCATGGTGACTTCCCAGGTGATTTCCGTCTCGCATGGACAAAGAAGCCATCGAGGAACTCACGCGTTCTGTGGTGTTAAGTTTTAGTTGCTCTTGTTCTTGTTGTGATGATTGTTGTAGTTGTTGTTGTTGTTGTTGGTGGTGGTGGTGGTGGTGGTCGTGGTGGTGGTGCTGGTGCTGGTGCTGGTGCTGTGATTGGTGGTTTGCTGGTTACTGTCGTTTCAGTGTGTTTGAGAGGGTTCCGGGCAGTTCTCTTGAATCAGGATCTGGCCTCCTGTCCTTTCAGGTGACATGCCTTATCCTGAAGTCTGCTTCCTGATCACTGATCTAGCATGCTTCTCTAGCATCTGTGTGACAAGAAATACCACGCCTCCTTGAGATCATACACCTACTGACCTACTCTTCTTAGGCGGACACCTACTCCATGGTTCATGCGCTTTTACCTACTCTTCTCACATGTCAAAGCTCAATGAGCCAGGCTGGTCCCAAGCTCTGATCAGGATCATGCTCTCAGAGTGAGAAGGCATCCAACACTCAAATCCAATATGAAGGATGTTGTTGGATGTGTCATGGATTTCTCTATGATGGTCCTTCACACCACTGATGAGCACATCCCAGCACATCCCAGGTAGAGTGGTTCAGGACGGGGGGGCGATGTCCCGTGCCGCAACGAGGGCGCGTCGTTTCTTCAGGACCTTCCTTAGCTGCGCTGCTCCCCACACCGACAATGACAAGTCGCCCGGTTTTTCACAGACTCTTATGACAAGTTGCCTTCGACACCAACACATGGAGACCAAAGCGAACAACAAGAACACACACACACAAACACATCCACATCCACCTGATCCCTGCCCGACCGATGAAACACCTTCCGACTCTCTCTCTCTCTCTCGCGAGAGAATAGGGGGCCATGGTGAGTGGTTCGACACCGGTGGCGCGCTGACTCGGGTAGTGGAGTGGCTCTCCACTCAGCTGAGGTGAACTGAAACCCGACAGCAGTTTTTGGGGTTGAACATCCACGTCCCCATGTCCTCCACGTCCCAACAACTGCGGTGTTCTTTTGGAGCAAGATGCGTGAGCTGCTCAGCTCCTTGGTTCTATACTGCTTGGCCCGCATGCCTGAAAATTGCACCTGCTGGTTCAATGGCATCACCAGAAGTTTACTGTAGGATCTGTGGAGAGTTGGTGTTGTTCTCGCACCAATCATTTCTTTGAGAATTCTTTTGCCTAAAAAGAGATGCTAGCTCTCAGGGTCCTTTCACACCCTTCTGTGAACTTCATGGAGGACTCTACGCAAACACGAGTGAGCTGGGTTAAACAGTTACAGTTACATCTAGCTCTCACAGGCTCTCACCATCCCTGAATCCCTCAAGAACATGATGCTAAATGACATCGACATGTCTCATTGACTTGGCCCCAACAGAGGCGTTTCACGGAACCTCCCCAGACTGTGGGGGCGTTCCAACCCACCACTGTGTGCTGCAGACTGGATAGACGGACTGGATAGACGGGGGTGCTGCTGCGCTTCGTCGAAAACCAATCGAAACGAGGCAGCAAGCCAAGTTGAAGAGTCGCAGCATTGCAGTTCCCTTTCACAACGTTGTACACACAATTTACACAATTACATTGTAGATGGATTGCCTTCCACAGTCAATTCTTACATTCATCCACCTATCTTCAGTTGCAATGCCGGAAAGTCTATGTGCCCTGACAGTGCCACCAAGCACATTTGTGTACATTTGCAAGGTGCAGAGGCTTTGCACTGCAAGTCTTCTGCAGCTTTTGCGCATGTCACTTCAGTCGAGAGTGCTTTCCAAAGCCTCTGCAGGCTTTTCAGCGAAAATTAATGGAGCCCAAAACAGGCTCAGCTATCTTCATTTTCTTCAGCTGCACGTAACGTGGACGTCGAACAGGTCACCTCAAGCACAAGAACTTGTTGACCAGGTCGCCTTTTCCATGCTACAAATGTGATGCGCCGGAATCAATAGATGTTCCAAAGGACAAAAGTCCCCACAACCCACAGCCTGTGAATAGGATCCACAGTTCAAGAGTATCCTCTTTATTTGGTCAATTGGCGCAATCTTCGTTGGTTGCCCCCGAGCACATCACCAAGGGTGATGCTTAGCCACGCGAAGGGAGACACATCCCAGGGCCCCCCCCAAAATATAGTTACAAACACACACACATGCCATCGCACCACTGCAAATGTCATCCAATGTTGATCAATGGCAGGTCAAAATCAGACCTTAGTCAGTTGACCTTCCCCGACGTGATGGTCCTTCAATGGCTGTGGATCCTGTTTCATCTTTCAAACCCACCGGTCACCCCGGTCGCTCCGTTGAAGGGTCGCTTCGGCGATCCCGACCCCGCTGCTGGCGAAGCCGCAAAAGGCGCCCTGCCAGGCCGTGCCCCAGGTGGTTCTAACTGATCCCGTTCGAGTTCGAGTTCGGGTTCGAATTCGAAGCGCGAGATTGCGTGGATCGAGCGAGAGGGGGGTGGACCAGTTCGAGTTCGAGTTCGGATCGACAACAATTTTAGAGCCGGGGGGGGTGGAGTGGACCGGTTCGAGTTCGAGTTCGGATCGGCGACTAAGGGACTTATAAGGGGGGGGTGGACCAGTTCGTGTTCGAGTTCGGATCGACCCACAACAACAGCAACGAGAACCAACAGCAACGACAACAACCACAACCGCAATCGCCACGACCCACAACAAGAAGAACAGGAACCAACCAAGCTAGCAACAAAGCAATCAACCTGTTGAAAGTATCCGCGCTGCGCAGTCTCATCTTTGCAGCCAACACTTGTTTTATTTGGGATCTGGGGGGGGGGGCGCTGCGCCCCCCCCCCCCAACCCCCCCCGCGCCACGAAATCTGCACTTCATCTCCAAAACCCGCGCCTGTCACGAAATCAACATTTTAGTGTGAACTCCCTGCGGCAAAACCTGCTAACCAACCAACCAACAGCCACCTGCCAGCGGCGCCAGCAGCAACCAACCAATTGACCACAACGTAGCATCCCTTTTGTGGGCCATCCGAGGGTAAAATTTAGAAAAGGAAGAAGCCATTGCAACGTAGCATGCCTTTTGTGGGCCACCCGAGGGTAAAGTTTAGAGGAAGGAGCCATTATATTACAACGTAGCATTCCTGTTGTGGGCCATTCGAGGGTGAAATTTAGAATAGGAAGGAGCCACTACAACGCAGCATTAGTTCGAATTCGAATTCGACTCGACGACAATTTTTACACCGCGACGGGGGAACCAGTTCGAGTTCGAATTCGAATTCGAATCGACGACAGCGATTTTGGAGTTCGACTCTTTCTATTCGTCCACCAGGTTGAATTCTAACTGTTCCAATTCGAGTTCGAGATCGAGTTCGAGTTCGGTTCCTTTCAGGGTTGAGTTCATCAATAAGCACAACTGTTTCAGTTCGACTTCGAGTTCGAGTTCGAGCGGGGCACACTATGCCTGCTGCGGTCGCGAAAGGCGCACAGTCACAACGAAGCCAAGCCGTGAAGCGAACCATTCCAATACGGTGCAAGCGATGAGAACTCCAATATGATGCTTATTATATAATCAATGTCTTATATTTAAATCTATAGTAATGGATAGTATCTTATTTAAGGCGTTGCACGCTTGGTCTTCTGTGCGGGAAACTGGCGGTCGTGAACACCAGACTCTTGTGGAGCACTGCTCGGGTGGTTTTGAGATGTTTTCAGGCTCAATTGTAAATTCTTCCACCATATTCCATAATTAAGAATTAAGACATATTAAGACATGTTAGGAATAGTGACCAACTATCCCCTTAACTTCCTCTTCTTTCTGTCTACATCTTGCACGATCGCACCTCCACGCGGATTCCTTTGGGCATCCGTAGCCGTGCGGCAGGGCAGACCGCCCCATGCTTTGTGCCGCCGGCCTGGCGCAGTCGCGAGGGTTTTAGAGGACGAAACGGTTAAAACGAGATGAAGAAACTACCAGGAGTCACAAAGGGGTGCCTATTGGAGGCTAGGGGTGCCCATTATCCACTCCCTAAGTGGACCAAACACCACCCCTTTGTGACCCCTGGTATAGAGACTTGTTGACTTATTGACTTGACTTGACCTTGTCATGGCTTGTGTGAAGGGTTCATGACAACCTGAGTTTCCTGAAAGATGATCCACTTCCGATCTCGATCGACTCACACGCCTTTTGGGATCCTGGAGTTTTCGCCTCCCAGGCGAAACGAAGCGACTGCCCTGGCCTGGCCGCAGGCGTTGCTGCCCCAACCCCAAAGTTCCTGGCAGCGAAGGACGCGTTGCGGGGCAGCGAAGACGTGGAATCTTGGAACCGGATTCATTCCGAAAACTCACTCGTGTTGTATGATACTTATATACATTTTTTGTGATACTTTGATATCAGTTGCATGATACTTATGTGATATCGTCATAGTTGTCTTTGCTTATAATGAGGGAGTTGTCTATAAAAAGGTTCCCCCCCCAACAGGCCACAATTGGGCTTCATCCGCAGGGGGAAGAAGATGTTCCGATATGGACACAGCTGGAGGCACGTCGTGCATGGAAGGACCAAACCCTGCGACCCCCTGCGAGCTGCAACCCTTTTGGGAGTCCCATCCCATCTGCCCAGTAGGTCCGCGAAACGAGGCTCTTTGGAGACACCTGGGGTCTGTGTATTTCGAAGAGGGAAGCCTCCCCCACCAAAACCTCCTCGAGGAAACATCGACCAAAATCCATGGGTTGGGGAATGTGGGGAGAACACCGTCTTTAAAATACCCATTTGGTTCCTTCTCATCATGGGCTGCTCAAGGGGTTTTGTGGAGCCCATTCACCCACAGCTGGTGGAGAGCTGCCGATGGCCGCCTGCTTTCTGGAACCCACCCGGCGGAGCAGCGCCAGGCAATGGTCAGATCCACAGGAGAGTCCTGGCGAGTCCGCTTTAGGTCATCCCACCACGAGCGGTGAGACCGGGGTGAGAGGACTTCAGGTCATTCCCTGTTTTGGTCCAAACATTCTGGAAGACTACTGACTACTGGACTACGCACGTCGTCGTCACAAACGCCATCGCCATACAACAACGAACCGAGGATGTTCATCGAAGTGTCTGCATCAGGAGACCCGTGTCCCTGCACAAACCGGGTGGGTTCTGTCGGTTTGGGTCCACCACAAAACAGCCCTATAGGATGCCCTAGCGCTAGCGAGAGTGTCACTGAAAGAACAGAGTCATTCCGCCTTAGTCAATCCAGAAATTTCCTGGCGAATGACCGAAAGAACTTTAGGAAAAAGTATAGTTGCAGAGTCTGCTACTTGGCCTTGTATCTGCTATCCCGTGCTTCCAGCATATGGCCTGCAAGCTCTCCACCCAACCGGAAGTTTCCCAAAAAGCCAGGCACCGCCCTTTCTCCGTCGCTCACGCCCAAAAGCTGCGCGGCGTGAGCAGTCCAGCTCCGCACGCGTCGGTCCAACAGAAACCGCGACCGTCGGTCTGCCTAGGATTTTGCTGTTCCGTGGCAACCGGCAGGCTGCAAAGGTTTGCCTCGGACGCGACGAAGGGCGGATCGATTTGGTACTGATGTACTGTATCAGGACGTCTCACTGATCGGAATCTCCACCCTTTTGGCCATGCATCGAAGAGCGCACGAGTCCCGCCACGTTGCGCCCCACGTCCCGCCGCCCGCCGAGCGGCTGCTGCTGTTGCATCGAGCGACCACACTGGCCTTTGCCATTTTCACCGCAGCAGAAGAGCCGCTCCGACCTCGCTGGCTGGGGGTAGGGTGGATGTGTGGAGAACCGAGAACGCAACGAGTCAGGCACCGTCCGGAAGAATCAGTTAAGAGGTAGGACATTAGAAAGACCTGTCAACTGTTCGTGATGGGAATCCAAGTCGTGGCTGTCCACAGAACTCTTCCATCTATTCCATATATTCCATTTACAGTCATGCCGGATGCAGCGCGCATCGCGTCTTGAGTGTCCTGCTCCTCCTCTGGTGGGTACCAGTCGGGGCTGTCTCTCACCTTGGCAAAGTGGCACCGATGGAAACAGGTCCAAAAACGAACAAACCAACAGGGTGCGTATAAGAACCATATTTTTTAATCCTGTTCAGGCTCTGATCATCGAATAGCTTGGGCACTGTTCACTTGAACTTGGGGATGGATCCCTCTTCGAATAGTTTTGACCTCAGTGGTGAACCAACTGGTGGACCAATGGTCACCAATTCCTGGTTTGCTTCTTTCTTACAACACTTCTCACCGACTCGCCGATGTCCAACACCCCACCAGCAGCAGCGTGAAGTCGTCGCCGCAGCGCACATCGCTGGGAGGCGGATAAGGACTACCTCGGACGACTGGGACGGACGACCGCGACTGGCGGACGGGTCGGTCTCGGTGGCGAAAGAAGTGGATGGACGTCGCCAGACACGACTCCGATGTAACTGATCGAAGTCGGTAACATCATCGGCTCAATTAAGGCGTGCGTTCCAACCAGCGACGGTCAAGAATGATGCCCTGCATGATTTGCATGATTCTGTCCGGACGATGGGACGTACTAGACATTTACAGTGGTTTCAGAGTAGATCTAGATGGGGGGCCTTTCGGTGATTGTGCCATCTGCTCTGAAACCTCTGTAGTAGTAGTCACCTCAAATGCCCAATCATGAGTGCAAGCCCCCCCCACAAATTAATCCAAAGGCACCCAAAAAACGAAGGCCAAAGAAGCCTCACGGTCTTCGGCTCCTTTCACCTTCCATCCTTTATTGAACATGCGCCTGTATAGAACAAACATGAACAAACCTGTATCACTACCCAAATGCCACTACATTGAAGCTACGTTGCTATCGTGCTGCCACCTGCTTGCTCGATCTGCCACCCAAAAATCCGGCCAAAGGCACCATGCACTTGCCTTTGTGGCTCCAAGGGGATTTCCATCATCATCGCCTCAGGTGTCGTGACGGATCTGTTCTCGGAGAACGGAGCCAAACACCGACATGGAACGAGAGAGATCCGTTGAACGGGCCAAACACGGAGAGACGGACTCTCGGATTGGTTGTTCCATTCGTTTCGGTTTCCGAAACCATTGGAGTACTCGCCCGTCTAGAAACATCACTTCTGTAGGGATCACCGGGAGAATTCGATATCCAGGAAAATCGATCTCTATAATTAGGCCATGGATCCGATCCATGCAGACTTACTTGACTTTCTTCAACAGGAACCTGACTCCCCCCAAGCCCCGTTTTCACCACACAGCGCAGACCTTGACCGGGTGTTCGGAATAGCATGGAGAAGCCAAGCTGAAGCCGAAACCGGCTTAATCTCCCTTCAGGTCAGGTCTACTGAGGTCTCAGCGGGTGTCACCTGCTGATGTGACTCGAAGTCTTTATAACTCCGCTGCGACGTGGAGGCCGCCTGGTGCCGAGGTGACACGACCGAGACGCGTCCGTAGATGCCGAGAAACGGTATGTTGGGGTGGTTGACTGGGGGTCAATGTAGGCAATCTATGGATATAAATATATGGCACACATGGAGTGTCTGGGATTGATATCGAAAGTTCGACCTTGAACTCGTCTGAGTTTGGGCATCGAACAACGATGGCCACGACTTCGACGGTGGCGACCGCACTTGTGGAGCGGAACTCGGGCCTTTCGAAGATCGGGCAACATTGGAGTTATGGCCAAAGCCTGATAGAAAAACACCAAACATACAGGATGGTTGTAATCCACACTCATCACTAAACAATCAATTTGAGGGTTTTGGTCGTAGCTCATTTGGATAAAAGCTTGAGATTTGGAGGGTCCGTAATCATATTATCTTCATTCAACTGTTGCAGCAGGCAAATCCATTGGCTCATTTTGATCCTTCTCTGCGCCATCTACAGCCATAGTTAATATAGCATGAGCAATTCACGCTATTGCACTTGGTACAGCGTCACATCGAAGACCAACATTCCTGCCGGCTTCCCACCAGCCGGATTCTCTCCATAGGCCAACGCCGCCGGTATCCAGAAGCGTCGCTTCTCACCCACGGCCATGAGCTGCACGCCTTCCGTCCATCCGGGAATCACCTGGTCCAAGCGGAAGGTCGCGCGGCGGCCGCGCAGTACCGAAGAGTCGAATAAACGTCCCTCCGTGGTCCAGCCGGTGTAGTCCACCGTGACGACGCTGCTGGAGGTTGGCCGTTGACCGCCAGAGCCGGGTTTCAGGACCTGAGGAGGTGGTGAGCGGAGTGTTTTCAACACGCCAAGAGGAGTGGTGGAGGTCACAGTCACTTCCAGGGCCTAAGACATGTTCGATCTCCTTTTAAAAAGAACACGAAGCACGCCACAGCACCAGTACACACTTTGTATGTTAGACTGTTATAGAGTTAGACTACCTATATCCAGTCCATAGTATACTTTGCATACCACACTTTTGCAGCATCTCAATACTTTAAACCTGGCTGAACGCCCGGGCTCAGCCGGGGCTGAGAAGGATGTGACTTTCTCCACCTCACCTTGGATGCAATGCCTGAAGCAGTGACTTCGGCATCCGCAGGAGGCGCACGGACATCTTCCGGCGTTGGCACGCGGGGCCCTCGTTCCACCGAAAAGAGCTCCACGTCGAAGACCAACAAGCCACCGGGACGTCCTCCCTGAGGGTTTTCGCCATAGGCCAAGTCAGCTGGAATCCAAAATCGACGTTTTTCGCCGGGAGCCATGAGTTGTAAACCTTCCGTCCACCCTTTGATGACTTGACTCAAACCAAAGCTGGCTCGCTGACCACGTTTCACGCTGCTATCAAACATGCGACCATTGGTCTGCCATCCGGTGTAGTCGACGGTCACCTGCGAAGCAAGTTGTCTTCACAGATCTTCACACTCAGCTCCCACAGAAGAGGCTAATTAAGTTGGAGGGCCTTGTGATCCTACATCATGTGGTCATGGCGCAAAGAATTCCTTGAGAATCCTTCAGAATCCTTCACATCAAACACCATCAACAGCCTTTGATATCCTTTTCATGGTCTTTGTCACTGTCAGCACCTTGGCGGAAACGTGTCTGTTTGGGCCGCCTCCGTACGTTGCTTTTTTCCTCGTTTTCGGAGTGGTGCCTTATCGAACTTCAAGGGCCTCTCATCCTCGCACGCCTCCGGAGCTGTGGAGCTCGCGCAGTTTGGAGCTCTGAGCACTTTGAAGGCCAAGCCACTGGGTGTGACTTCAGCGTCCGCAGGCACTGCTGCCACGTCGGGTGGAGCAGGAAGGTCTTGAGCTTCTGCTGGTGGACACAAGCCAAGGCTAGTGCCAAGGCCGAAAAGACCCAGTAGGGCGCAGCTTCTACGCCACGGTGGCGCAAAGGCTGGGCTTGAACAAATCAAGGACGCCACGCTTAGGAGGACCAGCCATGGCCAGGGCCCCCCGCGCGGGACCCCGCGCTGGGTGCGCATCTTGGATTTCAACAGGGGTGGAACCATATGGGTTGGGCACCCCCAGAAGCGTTTTGGTGGCAGAAGACCATTCAGGAGTTCCTGAGTTCCCCTTGTAGCATCCCCACAACATGCATCTGTGATCTGCCAGTGAGTGGCCTCTCTCATTGTGGCCTCTCTCTTTCCTTGTGGGACAACGGACAACGTTCCCCTCTTTGAACCACTTCTTAGCTCTGAAATCACCAAGGACAAGGGGGATGGGACCCAAGGGGAGGAGAGGATTGAGGCATCTCAATAGCCATTCATGTCCATCAATGGCTGTTTCTGAGTCTTGAGCCAGGCTCAAAGGACTGCAACAAACGCTGCGTTCCATCCAAGTGCAGCGTTTAGCAAACACCAAAAGCGAAAGCAGAGGGAAAAAGGAATACGACAAGGCAACCAGAAAACAGCTCGAGCCAGCTCGATCTCTTTGGTTTCCAATCAATTTCTAGACGATTTCCGCAACATCAACCTATGCATGCAACCCTCTATCAACCCACACATGCAACGCTTCTTTGATCTGTCCCAAAGGTCTCATATGTCTCACGACGCCCTGCCCAAACGCCCTGCCCCTCACGTTTCACTGCGCACCCGGGATCTCTTATCCTCGGGACCACCGCGAAAGCCACTGGGTGTGGACATCGTCTGGCCGAGACGCGAGCTCGCTGTGCAAGTCCGAGCGGTACGGACACACGGAAGGGGGTTCTTCAAGCTATTGGTGAAAAGCATGAAGTGAATTGAGTGAATGTGACTTGTTTGTTTATTTACAAGGAGATTTCGTTGCGTTCAGGTGTCGTTTCATTTCAATTGAGTCTTAGAAGCCTGGATGCCGCTTCCTTGCAGCCCATTGTTTGATCGTATTGTCTGCTAACCTCCCCCTTACGTTGCAGGCCAGGAAGCTCTGTAGTTCAACATAGTTCAACCATTCTACCCTTCTGCTCAGCTTACACCGGCTTGCAGGTCTTCATGGTGTATCACTGAGGTTGGGGAGTGCAATTCAAAGAGTTCAAGAGGCTGTTGGCCTACTGCTTTATTTGCAGGAATCCTTCTGGCCATGGTTTCATGTGGACACCTTCACTTCTCAGTCAGTGCCCTAGAGGCAGAATGGACAGCTAGCTGATTGTAGTTGGTCCAGCTAGCTGATTGTAGTTGGTGGCTGCAAACCCTTTTTCCAGGCTCGACATCACTGGTCGTGACATGTCGCGACACACTCAGCTTGCTTTCAACAGGTGCTTGCTTTCAGCGTGGCACGTGTTTGATCTCGAGATTGGCCTTGAACTTGTTCATCTCAGCTTGGTTTGAGGAAGATTGGTCTTGGTCAATCATTGTATGTCATGACTCCCCCGGACACCAAGCCAAAGCAGGTTTGAAACAGCATCCCTTACCCTGTGTTTCAACTTGCAAACACCTGATTCTGTACACTGTGCTCCGGAAACATTCACTGCAGGAATTCCACTTGTCATTGCTTTACATTGTTTCACCAATAGTCCATGATAGTCCATGTATCAGCTCACTTACATTCACTTACGCTTTCCCTGCAATGCTGGCGATTGCCGGAGACTGCCCTGTCTGGACCCCAAAAGACTAACCTATGTGTGTCTATGAGTTGGCTTGTCTATGAGTGTCTACAATGCAACCACCGCTATGAGTTGGTGAAACTTCTCAGCTGAGGCATGAACCTGGCCAAAGTCTGAGAATGGTCGACATGTTCATTTATGATATTCAAAGTCACCTATGTCAAACAGTTGGCTGCTGATGTGGGTGGTAAATAACACTGAGGGAGCTTGGCTTTTGGTAGCCACCGTCATCTCAGAGGCTGAAGTTTCACACACATTCATGAAACTGTGAGGGAACGTGGCCCTGCTAGATTTTATAGTAAAAAATTCAGTGAGAGGTTAAGCTATTAGTGGCTCCATTCCGCTCAAAAAACCCAGTTTGTAGGCTCTGCCTCACCCATCGCCCAAGCTGACGACCAAACCTCAGAAGCACATGTTGGCACATCAAAGCTTGCAACAAGGTTGATGCAGGGTTGATCAGTCTAGATTGTTCCTGAGCCTGGCATTCATTCAATACCTCTAGATACCTCTAGCCTCTTGGTCTTGCTACCTGTGACCTTTTCAGGCTCGGAGTTTGGCCAGGGCAAGTTTTGATGGAGCGGCGACAGCCATGGACCAAGTTTATACCAAGAATTTATTTTGCTTGACCAATACACTTTCAGACTAAAGTCACTAACTAAAGGTAGCCCTTTGTTGTTGCGAAAGCAGTTGGACAACTGCCAGGTATTTTCGACGCCAGTCAATTGCATCATCAGCAAGCAGCTCAGTCCCAGTCAGAAGCAATGCATCTGAAAACAACACGGTGTCTGTAGTTCGTGATAGCACGGCTTGTGATGGCACTAGAAGAGCTTTTTGGAAGTCAATGAAGCCTCAGCAGTGTCCACAGACCATTCCGCCAGAGCCAGAAGAGGCAGGATCAGTGAAGGTCAAGTTTACAATGAACGGATTGCGTGGTTTCCAGCATACAGCTGATGTGAATGTGGACCTAGCCCTGGACAAAGAGAAAGCTGTTGGGGGTGCCATCTTGGAGCACCATAAACGCCCCAACTACAACAACCAGCAGAGACGATTACTGGCCAAGGGCCGACAGACTCATCAGCAGCTAGCCAGCAACTGTCTTGCAGATTGCTAACAATCAAACTTGTCGAGCTATATACATGTGATTGCAAATTGCACTTCCAAACTTGTGCTGCGACTGCCGTGTGAGGCAGAGTGTGAACGGTGCATCTACAGCTCGGTTGGAACATTTGCAGCATCTCCACCACTGCCGGTGCCATAGGAAGAATTGTTTCAGATGGTTGGGAGAGAAAATGGAGCTACTGAGCACATTCATGAACACCTTCTGGAAGATGTCCAGACCGAGACAAGACCTCTTTGCCTGGACCTCATTTTCCTCGATATTCCTCGATTCAGTTTTTCCCTTCGATACTTGATGACCTTGGAAATGTGTATTTTTGGCAGCCCTTCTTCCTAGGTCCAGCAAGTCGTTGGCAGAGGCAAGGCGGTGCAGCGGAGACAGTGGTATTTGCTAGGATACCAAATGTCACCAAAGTGTGTCACTGCTGTTCTCGGTGTGGGAAACTCGAGAATGAAGCGGATCATTTCTGGTGGCCCCGATCGCCGCTATAGACTTTGGGGTGGCGTGCCTCGTCTTGTTTTTTTGCAGGTTGAAACTTCGTGTGTCAAATCCTGTATTGTTTCGTTATGTTTCGTTCATTCTGCAACCAAGGGATCCAATAAATTTGGGAGGAAACAAAAGGAGGTGGACCTGTTTCTATTTGACATTTACAACAAGGCAGCAGGAATGCTTCCAGAAAAGTCTCTTGGCACATGAGTTGGTTGATATCTGGCTATTGGTTTTCAGATTCAACCCCAAACCCAAGAATTCTCCGAGCAAACAAATCGACAGGTTCCAACGAGCAGCTCATCAGCGAGACACTCCGCTGAGATCCCAGCCTGAAAAGCTTTCAGTTGAGCTTGCGCAGCCTGACCCAGGCACTGTTCAAATCTGGTTCACTTGGTCATGTCTTTGCATAGCTTTACGAAATCACAAGAAAACCATGAACTGAAAACGATGCTGTGAAGCACATACTCTCAAGTCATACTCCTCTGAAGGCTTCGAGTCTGATGCATCTGTGGAGAGTGACGACATTGGGGAGACTCTGTGTGTTGGGCATGAGTTGATCGAGGATGATGAAGAACTCAGAATGCACGCATTGGGTTTGAACAGCTACTACTCGAAGATTCTTGCACTAAACATGTGCATGTTGCAGCGCCGGTACACATGAATATCATATGAACTTGTCAATTTATTTGCTGTTCAATCAGGTATATAGAAACAGCAGGCTGTACTATGCTGACATCCTTACCCACCAGGGTTTTACAGCCGGGTAGTATCAAAATGCTTTGGCATCAATTTTGTCATGAGCGGCCAGCAGTCCAAGTGTCGCACCTCATCTTTCTTTGATATGATGGCAAAAGTTGTTTGTCAAGTGAGTGACTCTTGTTGTATGACATTCCTTTTTCAATAGCAAAGGTACATACACTTCTGGCGGCGATTCAAGGGACGCTGGTCAAAGTTGCTCAGATTTAGTCCTGCTTCGAGTCACGCCGCTTGTGACGACTGCTTGGAGTTCAAGGAGCTGTTCAAGATGGCGAAGGTGTCTTGCTTCCAGGATTGAAACATCAAGTATTTAAGGTAAAGTTAAGCCAGTGATTGTCATCATGTGGGCCCACTGTTGCTTTCCCAGTCTCCGCAAATGGCCTACGATGTGGCCAAAGAGTACAAAGAGCATGTGGACAGCATCAAGCGAGACCGGCAATTAGAGCAGTACCTTCAGGCTACTTGAAAGTTTGGCTACCTGTTTTGACAGCTGCCTTCCAAAACTAGTGCACTTGCTGTTGCCACTTTGGGGCGGGCTTGCTAAATGGACCTTGCTTCTGTGTTACTGCTATGTTCAGGCGCAGTGTTTCTTGCAGCACGACGGATCTCCTCTTTGCATCCATATGGTTTCATGGCTGAAATCATGTGCTTGATTCACTCATAAATTGAATTCTGCAAATGGCAAAATCTTTGTAAACCGGGCGCCTGCTGGCAGCAGGATGGCATGGACCAGGCCAAGTGGAGCATACCCAGAGATCGTGCAAACGTCACGCCCAAGGGCCTAAGCAACACACAACGGCCAAAGTTTAAAATACAGGCCTGCTGGCTGCATGGAACACTCCTCAAATTATGGCTGCTAGATCCGCGTCTACCAGCTGACGCTTCGAGTGTCTTGGAAACCATGACAAGGAGCATAGAACAGGCTGTCGCACTTTGCCAAGCAAGAAACAAGCCTGTACCGGACCAGCTCTTGTGCTGGGCTACTGGATTCGCAAAAAGAAAGACATGTTGAATGAAACAACTTGCAATTTACAACAACATGCCCTTTCCAAATCCTTGCCCAAAACTAAGGCTGACAATTGTGTCAGGGAAAACAAGAACAACTCGATTCTCAAATGGCTATCATTCGTTGTCACAACGCAGAAGATGAGGTTGAGTTCAGTGATGTATGGAAGGGTGGGTCACACCCACGGTCCGCTAGGTCTTTGGATGCACTAACAACATGACACAAACTTGTTTGAAGAATCACTGGGTGGTAGTGTGTTGCTGAATTGAAAAGAACCATTGACAGCCAAGACCAAATTTTCGGACTGCTGGCGGTTTCCTTCCGCTACATCGACATCTTGTGTGATGAACAAGATGTGTGTGAGACACTCAACTACTATTGATAGGCGCTCAACTACTATTTGTGTCCCGCTGACACCTAGAAAGTGTTCTTCTTCTCAACACCTAGAAAGTGTTCTGTTCTTTTGTTCTACGTTCAACGTTTCAATGGCCAACCCACCACACCCGAGGAAGCTTCGTCAAGTGCTGAACCGAATCGGTATAAGGGGATGGTTGGGCGAGGATGCAGTCATCGACGTAGAATATATCAGTGGTGTCAGAAACTTCAAATCTTGGTGTTTTGTCGCAAATCAAGAACACTGTTTTCCTGTTCAAGCATTCAACCAATTCAGTGAAGTAAGCACTTTCTATATATAGTTGTG